GGACATGTAACACACCAAAAGGACACTCTATGATCCCATTCATCAAGACAAACTTTAAAAGCTTAATGTGTGTGTGTCTTTGATGTTGTTTTTTGATCATTCAGGTTTTAACCCATTTAGCCCCACCGGCAACTATAGTTGCCGAAGTTTATCATTTTCTACTCACAGAAAAAAAAAATCAAATGTATTAATGCAGGATTTTTCTCTTATATGCTAGTAAACAACTTAGACAAAGTTATAGTTTAAAAAAAATATATTTCTTGGTGCTTCCTGTCACGTGACATCCTCAGCTTCCAGTCCCTTCCGAGTGAAAACACGAATGACGCAAACTATCCCAGAAAGAGGTCATTTTCATAAATTTTGAATAATTTTTGCCCCAAACATATTATAATTATTTGATCATTCAAGTCTCTAGAGTAACCCTCCCTCAAAACATTTTGCCTGGGATAAATATTTTTTGAGTTATGGGCATGTTTCTATGCGCACATATTCACTAAAGGAAAGGAAAACACTGCCTGGTTTACCCACTAACAGTGCCTCATAATTTACCTATTTTCAATTGTAGAATGGTGTACAGAGGCTAATTTTAAACCTCTTAGATTACTCTTCACATCTAAATAAAGTATTCACAGCTATTCAAAGCCTATGTCTGTAGGATTTTGATATAGCTGTAGCTCAGACCCTCCTCCAGCGTCATGAAGTAAGACACGGATGTCCAAACATTTTAGTAAGAGGACCACACAATCATAAAAACAAATGTAAGTAAATAACAATAGAGTCAACGACTGGATTCCAGAGTGTCTGAGATTTACAGCAAGATATAGCATGACTGCATAGGTGGAGCTGAAGTTGGTTGGATGACACTGTCAAAGTGCCTCAGTGGCGACTTTGTGTTAGCAGCAGAGGGCCACATAAAATGGCCCAGAGGGCCGCAATTGGCCACGGGGCCTGAGTTTGGACATGCCTGGAGTAAGACGAAGTGTGCATGGCTGATGTCAGCAGGTTCGACAACCTCAACCATTGGCCTGCACCAGCGGGAGCAAGTACAAGTAAAAGTACATGCACAAGCGATGCAAGTTCTGTGAGAAATGTGTCGTGCCGCTACGTGGAGTGCTTCAAGTATCATATGTATATGTGTATAGGGCAGAATACATTTATATAACATGGATATCTATAGTATACTGTCTTGAAATTACCCTTGGCATCAGTTCTTGTTATTTTTTTGCTGATGGGGAAAAGAAAAGTAATAGAAAGTACTTGTAGGCTAATGCCATTTTTTGCCGGTTTTTGGATTGCCAATGGGAAATTTCCCTTTTTGAAAACATTAGTTTTGTATTTTAGAATAAAGAAACCGTTCAAGTTATTTGTTGTTTTAGATTTTAAAAAGGAGGAATCAATAACAATCAGTTTGGCTGATCACAACCTTTCTGGGTTGATTATATCCAGTTATAATATCCATTATGACCTACTGACAAGCTATGTGCCCACCCTATTGCCAGCCCTAAAAATGCTATTTTCTTAAAGGCAAGGTCCAAAATTGTAAAAAAAAAAAAAATGCATTTCCTGACTCTAGGGAACACAACTGATAACATTATATGCATTAACACTCTGAACAAAGTTTGGGCACAAATGGGTTAAGCCTGAAATGAAGAGATGTTGTTTATTTCCACAGTGGGGAAACATCAGTAAATCTCTGTCAAAGAATCTTAAAATCATTAATAAAAACACAGTATAAAAAGTGTAAACATAGACATGATATACCTACATACTCTAGTGCACAGAAATACAGTGTGTACCTAAATGAATGAGTAATAAGTGGCGGGAGCGCTTGTGTGTACTCTGGGGGTAGTCTTGCACAGTTTTTCCAATGTGGTTTTACTGCAAACGGCAACAAAATTCCTGAATCTTGAATTTCAAAGAATAGATCCATCTGTAAAACACCCTTGTGCAAGAATACAGAAATAATAGATAAAAAGCTCTGAGAAGGGTCAATTATTTACCGTGATGATACATTATTTTATGCCATAGTTGTTTTACATGTGTAATTGTGATCAATAATAAACACAACTTGACACTTAAATATGAGTTTTAATGCAATTATCTTGTTTAGACATAATCTTTTCCTTGTTGCGTGAGTGTAGTCCAACTAAAGAATCATATACACTGCAAAAAATGATGAAAAATAAGTGAAAATTGCTCAAATTTGGCAAAATGTATCTTATTTTGAGCAAATTTTGACTTCCTTGATACAAGAGTTGCCAATGGGACAAGCAAAAATAATCTTGTTTTAAAAAGATGCAAAAAATGATTATAAAAAACAAGAAAAATACGACTCAATTCAAGCATTTATTACCTCATTTTTTGCAGTGTATCAATCATTTTTAATCAAACTGTTGAAACTTTGCCTCGTCTCCCACTTGGAATCCCGGCCTCGTCTCGTGTATGCAGTTTTGATGAGTAAACTTGATCTGAACCAAACTTTCACGTGCCTTCTATACCAACAGACGGCTCGGTGGGACGTGGATGTTTACTTAAAGCCTCCGTTCTCTCCCCAGAACCCTCTAATTATCTCCTGCAGACGAGTTTTAAGACTTTGGTCCAACTCTGGAGACACGCACACTGAAGGACTATCAGTGCTGGGCCAAGCACTCAGACTCCTTTATTTTAGTTTTGTCAGGAGACCCCTCTGAGGTGGATAACAAGAACCTTTTATTCTCTTTTCTATGCAAATGACTCACTGTCAAGTATATGTGAACGGCCATTTTGTTTCGCAGACAAAGCCAAGACTACAGTTTTGTACTCCGGTTTGATTTACTCTGTCTGTGCCTTTTGTGTTGATGTATTTTGATTTAAAAACTAAAAATTATATTTCTAGTATAAAACCCTTTATAATGACATGGCCAATGTATTATTAGTATTGCTGCATGTCTTCACAATTATTCAATTATTTTGCTTTTGTATTTTCAAAAACACAATCAGAATCACAATTATTTTTGTTGCCGTGGATGTGTGGTGAGAGAGGTTGTCGGTCCAATCGCCACTGTAAAGAAGTGTGTTGCTTTCTTTGCCGTCTGGATCCAGGTCTGACGCTAAGTTCCACGTTTGATGCTGTACGTTAGTGTTACTTTTCAAACCAGGTCAGTTTAGCCGCTCAGGATTTTTAAAGTTCGTTGAAACAACCGCCATTTTGTTTGCGTTTGGTTTGTTCTAGTGCAGATCGAGCGTGGCCACATGATCCGACCACAACAGCATTTCCGGCGCGTGTGACGACGACCATAGAGCAAATATGAGGAGTGGACTGACCGAGTGGGACATCACTGTAATGTTAGCTTTGATACTGTACGTGAGAAGCTGATTTGAACATAAGCTAGCCGGAGCCGTTTCTTCTGCAGCATAAGCTTAACGCCATAACAGGGGTAGATGTATTGCCAAGACGGGGATTACAGTGAGCACTAAACCATTTCTACCGTTTGTGAGTGTGACGCAAACGTTTACTGAGCTAGAAGAGTTTACTTTGACATGTCAGTCAATAGAACCCAGAGCGAGTTGGAGCAAAACTCGTCTATGAGCACTTCCTTATTGGGCTTCATGGAGCTAGCGAATTAGCATTGTCCGTCTGTATACAGTCCGTGGGAACGACTGCGTGATGTGAGCTGCTTGGCAAATCTACCAAGGGGAGGTTGAACGCATTTTTCTGCAGGAGGAGCCACTTGCGGCAGCTCATGGTCTAGCTCCATAACTGCAAGTCCATAACATTGTAGATTAAGATTATTGTGTGGTGGAGCACAGCTTAAAACCCTACCTGGTAACAATGATAACTGTCACAATGTCAGATTTCTACCCTTAGTTTGGGGCTGATTTCTCTGTAGTTCCTTGATCAATCCACATGAAACAAAATCCCCATCTTCTTGTCAGCACATATCAGTTCTTATCAAATTATTTGCTCATGAAGGTGTCTAAGTGGTGACAATTCTTTTATAATGTCGGCCACTAGAGAAGGCTTTCAGAATAATTTGACGGCTTTGTAAATCTAATCACTGTCAAATAATTATCTTGGAAAATAATTCTTTTTCAGCATTTCTTTCAAAAACTGCTTCTTTTCCATAGAGGTGCCACTTCCATCCGACTGAAGTAGAATTTGAGAAAAGGAAGACAGCCTACTAACACTAATACTATCTGTTCTGCCTCCGTTTTTTAGTGTCTAGATGAACACACGTTTCATTGTGATTTGTACATTTTGATTTATTTGTTGTACAGGCTAATACTATTTAATGAGTTTCTAAAAATTGACTTTAAACACCATTTTCTTATTGGTTTGGTTGCTATGCAGTTTTGGTGCATTTGGTTGCTATGCATGGTTGCTAGGCAGCAGAAGACTCTCAAATGTAAACATGCTTGTTAACAGTTATAGTAACAGGAACAGTTTGTTGTTGCTCGTTCATTTCTGTTAATTAAAGCTAAATGTACATTATTTCTGTTTTATTTTATAGTTTCACTTGAGCTTTTCACAAAATTTAACCTGTCTACATGTCCTGTATTAAAGGATCAAGGCGTTTCCTGCCTCGTGAAGACCGAGTTTGGCTTGCTGTTGATTTACGTTAACACACTCCATGTATCCAACACGTATTGAGAACAGTACACTATCTAATAAACAAAATATAACAATCCATGTGACAGGCTACATGTCCATGAAACAACACGGTTGCTAATACAACAATAACAAACACTTGTTCGTCGTGTTAAAGTTCATTAATGAGGATCTTAGCAACCGGCAACAAACAAACCCTCCATGTGTCTGGCCACATTTACCGAGAGCAGCCCTCTGACTCAGGCCTGACACGGCTGACCACGGCTAATGCATAATAATGAGGCGAGGTTACATGCAAATCACAATGCGCTCTAAAGGTCAAGATCGTCTTTGTTTAGACCAGTGGCATTAGGTGATGCTTATCTGTTAAGCAAAGTCGAGAGCCCTCCACAAAAACAAATAAAGCACTCACCATTGGGACTCTCCTCGTCTATGGCAACAATTGTAGCTGGAGGTCCGGATCGAGCCAGTTTGCATTCTGAAAAGGCCAGTAAACAACACAAAATGGAGTCAGTATTTTTGCGGCTTGAACATATTTAAATACATCCTCATGTTGATTAAAAACTATTTTCTGGTATTGATTTTGCCCAGACAGATCTTACCCTCATATTGCCAATCTGCTGTAAGAGACAGACAGACAGTGTTCCATCAGGAGGAGATAAGGAAGGGAGCAGCCGCGAGGAAGAGCAGAGGAGAAAACAGAGAAAAGAGAAAATCATGAATGACACTCTCAGAATAAGACCAGGCTGAAAGAGTTTGGAGGTTGGGAAAAAACATGTTAGCTGAAACAGGTCATTAAAACACAGACGCTTGGTTACTAACTTTAATTCTCATCAGAATTACATTGTTACATGTTTGTACCAACCTTAATAGTAGTAGAATTAAGTAATCTAATTTATATAACACATTTTACAGATACTCAAGACGCTTTACAATGTTCAGAGTTCAGATATTGTCCCATTTTCTCCATATTATCGAAGCCCCTAACTCCCTCTGTTCACTCACTCATTATATTCAGACCTATTTTACATGTTTTTACTGGAAGGGAGGAAACCTATACGCAGTCAGAGGACAATATGCAAACTCCACACAGAAAGGTCTGGAGGTGGAATCTGAACCCACCGCCAAGCTCTAAGTTTGTGAACAAATCAGACCAGAAAATGCCGTCGTCATTGTCGTCTTCTTGTTGTGTATACGTACGAAAGAGGCTTATAAGTCTTAATCTGAGGCTGAAATCTCATTGGGTAAGTGAGAATGGCTCCCTCTTTTTCATGTTTCTAACTGAAAAATCTGATCAAAAGAAGTGACCGAGCCAGAAATACATGCATGTGAAAACTAGTGATGGAACTAAACTGTGTTAGGAACAATTCAAAAGGTTCATCTTGTCTTTTTGAAAAACAATTTTAATGTAGGCAGACCAGGAACACTTCAAATCAGTCATTTCAGATCACTGCAAGAGAAAAAAACCACATTATGGACTGGGGCGAGGCTTGGATCATCAAATCCGAAAACAGCAAATACAGACGCTGTATCATGGACGCCATTGAAATCAGAAATCAAGGCAACTACAGCATCAACCGAGACGAGGGAACCTTCCTCCTGTCGCACACATGGGACACATTCCTCCAGAGACCACCGGGTGAGAGGGGCGTGACTTGTCAGGTCAAACAGGCTGACCACGCCCACTCAGGAAGTAACATAGGCTGATAAATGACTACTGAATCTACAGCAAATGGATATCAACAGCGACACTCTACAAAAACAAGAATTGGATAAATATCATCTACAAGATCTAGAAAAACAGGCCATGTTCTGCCATCAAGCCATTTACAACAACAGTCCCAAAGCTCAAAAAATATTGGCATCCAAAATTAAAAGGCAAAAGGAAAAAAGTACTATAGATACCATTTTGGATGCAGATTCCTCACCAAGGAGAAAGAGAAGTGACATTTTATCTTGCTTTAAGAAATATTATGAAAAACTCTACAGCCCAGAAGGAGAAGCTGATGTACAAAGAACTGCCAACTACCTTGAACACCTGCTTCTGAAGACAACGAGTGGAATTCAAAACAAAAAACCTCACTCGAACTATGTCTCAAACGGAAATATTAGGTGCCATAGAGAAGACTAAATTAGGGAAAAGCCCCGGAGAGGATGGATTTACATATGAATTTTTAAAACATTTTAAGTGTGTTCTCTCATCTGTCTTACATAGAGTGTTCAACGAAGTGCTGCAAACTGGAAAATGGCCAGACACCTGGAAGAACGCCATTATAGCTGTTGTTGCAAAGGAAGGTAAAAATCCCAAACATTGCTCATCGTATAGGCCCATATCACTCCTGAATTTGGATCATTTTACCACAACTAATAAATTCTGATCAAACAAGAATAATAAACATAGGCTGATAAATGAAACACGGGGGTGGGGGACAGTTCTGAAGATGTTAACAAGGTAATACATCTGACATGTCTCCGTGAACATGAACCACAAAAGCAACTGTTCGGAACATGGATAACATTTGTAGTTGTGGTTCTAAAGTTGGGAACCCCAGCTTTAAGTTGGATCTCAAAGAAGCCAACAACGGTACAGAAGCAAACATCCATTGTTTATCTTTTAATGAAATCAACAACCTTGTTCAATCTCTGGTAAAGATGTGAGGAAACTTTTATTACAGCCTATATCTGGGCGATATGACAAAGAATACACGTTTCTTGTAGCAATCTACTTTATTTGGTTACATTTTGAGCAAAAAGACTGGTTTATTTTAAGACAAGCTATGAGTGTTTTGTTACCTCTTCAAGACAAGTGTGAGAAACCTGCATAATCTGTAAAAATAGTAATGTGTCGCCATGAACCCTGAGATATTCTGTCTGTGCCGTATGCTGCCCAGCCCTGTCGCGGAGATCTATCTTCTATGACTACAGCCATCCAATAAAAGGAGTAATAGCATTCCGTCTTCTTATCAACTCATTCCATCACATCCAATCTTCTCTTCCTCAATCTCTCAGCCAATCGTTATTCAGCATCGGATCCCTCCACATCCCAGTCCAAGCACCAAACTTTAGTGTAATAAATGTTGAATGTTATCCCCGTCTGGTAGAAGAGAAGAGAGGTAGAGTCCATGGTTCCAATTTGAAAGAGGTTAAGGTTACTGTTCTTTGTCGACTACGCAATCAATCATTTATTTGTATACCACAAATCGTGTACAAGGCAATTCAAACTGATTCACAAGAGCAATTTAAAAACACAAATCAAATTGCATTAAAAATAAAAAACAAAACGACAAGGAAATATACAATTTAAAAGATATGGCTACCTTTTTTCCATCCACCCATCCATTTTCTTCCCCTTAATCCATTTCTGGGTCGGGGGGTGGCAGTCAGAGCTGCACCCAGTACATAGAGCACCACCCCCTCACTGATCCTCCTGCAGGTGCTGAGATTTTTCAGCAGGGGCTTCAGGCAAAGTGGTGTTAAGTGTCTTGCCCATGGACACAATGACAGCAGTCACTGATGGGAGTCGTGAAGTAGGTCTTACGGTGGGCTCGAACCCACGACCTTAAGGCTCTAAGGCCAATGCTCTACCAACTGAGCTACTGTCACCCGTTTTTTCTTTCTTGTAAATTTAACATTCTATACTTGGCTCCTTGACTTTGTGCACATTTTGTCATGTTTTTCGATCACAAAGATTCAATTTGAATTGTTTTATATTTTCGTGGTAACAGACAACAGTGCGTTTCCAAAGCACTGGAGAAAACCGAATTCTCCTCCGACTCCATTTAACTCAATTGATAGAGACTCAGAATTCTTGTTTATTGCCATTGTATGAAACAGGAAATCACAAACTAGAAATTTGGTTGGCGTGCGGTGCAAACGAGTCGTAAGAGTAGAAGGTGATGCATGATAAAAACTGTGAAGTGAAGATGGTGCACGATTCTTCTGCAACGGAGCTGAACTTGGTCACGTTTGTATTTGGACAGAGATAATAGACTTTCTCGTCTTGTTCAGGATCAATACTGCACATGTTTTGTTTAGCTTGGCGAAGCAAAACTTAACTGGAATCACGGTGCTTTTAAGAGCGCAGCGGAAACACAATAGAACAGCTGAGTGTGTGTAAAAATCAAATACCAAATGCAAACGATGATTACACTTGACAAACAAAAGATCATATTATGTGTATGATATCGGTTTTACAATTACAGTCATAAAGGTTTGAGTACAAAGGGACAGATACGAGAAACTGTTGAAATTGTCCTTCTCCGCGGGGCTCAGAGACGGGACCAAAACTCATCACACCGGTTTGATAATTTTTAAATATAAGCTGTATTTTTATGGTTTGTAAACTCAGGGAAGAGAGACAGTCTTTTTAAGTATGACCAAGTGAAAGAGGGTTGCACATCTAGAGACTGAAAGTTTTGCCCATTCGTCCTTACAATGCAACTGTCAGATACTGCACTATGGTTTTACATCAAAACCCACACATGCAGACTTGCACGCACACACACACACACACACACACACGCACACACACATAGACAAGCGGTACCATAAACCAGGGAACATAAAGTATGAAATTGAGCTATTTTTAATCTATTTTTATCTATTAAATCCAGCACAACAAACAGATTACAAACGTAGACAAACAAAAACAAAACATGTAGACATTTTATCACCAAACGTTCCAAATCTATCAAAGAGGAGCATCTTGAAGACAGAAAAAGAGCCTCTTCCTTTCGTAGACTAAAATCTTTCACGTTTGCGGTTGTAAAAACATGACAAAAATGGCAAAAGTTCAAGTTGTATATCAGAACTTCTGCAAACCGCTGCATTCAACCTACACACGGCTAATCATGCGAGAGACTGAGTCTACCAGGAATACTTTGGAGACGTCCCAGCGGAGAATCCTTCAGAGGCACATTTGCTCACCTAGAAAATCGCTTAACGGAACAGCGATCACCCCCCCCCCCACCCCCCACTCTTCTGATGAAGTATTACAGCCCGATGACATCATATATCTTCTCACCATCCGGAGCTATTGTTTCCAGGAATGTTGCTCTGGGAGACGAATTAAATGTTGGCAAATATAGATCAAAGGACTCCGGGTCTCTGAAGTATCTTATCCTATTATGGCGGGGAATAGGACGCAGAGATTGCTTTTCGCGACAAAAAAAAGAAAGTTCTGAGTTCCGATTGATGCTCATAAGCAAATTTTCTTGAACAATGTGTGCTAAAGTGGCACCCGATTTAATCCATCAGGGGGACGGAGAAAAACACTCCTGGCGTGTAACGGAGAGGGTGGCCTTGGAAGTTAATGCCGTCGCATCAAAGGTACAGTGCTGAGCTGTGTGTTGATATCAAAGGGTTAACAGCTTTGCTTCAGTAATTTGCATTAAATCCCTCGATGATAGGCTCCAGCAAACTTTCTTTAAGAAGCAGCGGAACAGTCAAGCGCGAAGGGAGCAAGCTGTACCAAAAGTGCTATCTATAAAACATGGGTGAAGGCCCCTGATGGTGTGTACAGGCCTATATCTGGTGGGTTTGTTTGCACACAGTCTGGAACTTTGTTGAAAGAGAAAGTTTCGGATTCACCATGTTCCGATTTCGGGAGGTCTTTAGGTTG